GCGGGGACCGCGCTCTCCGCCGCGGGTTCCGGCGCCCGGGCCGCTGGCTTCTCCCCCGGCCGCGCTGCCTCCGCAGCCTGGCCGGCTCCCTCCCGGATCTGTGCCTGTGACCGCCACGTGTGTGCGTGCGTGCATGTGTGTGTGCGTGTGTGTGTGTGCGCGCTCGAGAGGGCGCGCGCACGCGTGGGGGCAGTGTGCACACGCGGAGTGCGGGGGAGTGTGTTTGTGTGTGCATGTGGGTGTGAGTGCCTGGCGCGCGCGCGCGCGCACACACACACACACACACACACACATACATACACACACACACCCCGGCAGGCTCGTCTGAACTTGAAGACACCCCACATTCCAAGATCCCCGAGGTTCCTGGGAATGCCCAGGCTTCTGCGCTCCGGAAAATCCTACCAGCATCTTCCTAAGAAGAAATTCTCTGTTCTTTCTTTTCTTCTTTTTTTTTTAATCTGGAGGAGAGAAGAACAAGTTGTGCTTTCCCCCTCCCCTTCTTCCTGCTAAATGCCATGGATATATCCGAATAAGCCGCTCAAGGCTCTCCCCGCGTGGACGTCCGAGGCCACCATCTGCCCGCAGTCGCCGGAGCCCGAGGGCTTAGCTGGAGCCGGACTTGGGCGGGGAAGGATGCGCGGCCGAGCCGGGGAGCCCGGGCGCCCTGCGGAGCCGGCCTCGGAGCCTCCCAGCCGGGGGTAGATGCTGCCCAGCCCAGGTGAGTGGTCCTCGCCATCGCCGTCGCCGTCGCCGTCGCCGTAGCTGCCGGGTCCCCGCCGCTGTCGCTAACGGGTCCCCGCGGTCCTGGGTGTCATGGGGAGCTGAATGCACCTGAGGGAACGGGAACTTTGCAGCCTTTTCTCTTTTCACTTGAGGACTCCCCTCATCCTGGGTACTCGCGCGGACACCCCTTTCTCGGTGCACCCATCCTTATCGCGAGAGGTTTCTTGTTTTTCTATAGCGGAGGTGACACTCCAGCGGCCAGCGGGGACAGCCAGGCGGGCTGCACGAGGCCAGGGAGCGGAGGGAGAGACCCGGGGCCGCGGGCAAATGGCACCATGGAAAGCGGCAGGAGAACTTTGCCGCCAGACCACTCTGTTGCATTTGGGCACTCGTGAGGCCTGGCCAGAGCCATTACTGGGCTGGGTGGGGGCGCCGGGGGCTCCCGAGCTCGGGGACTGGGTGGGGTGGGAGAGAGCTACATGCTGAGGGGTCCGTGCAGCGCCAATAGAGGGCAGGGAGGCATGGTTGCAGTTTAGGGAGGCAGGTAGGGCTGGCATAGGCTCCTATCTGGGCCTTGGGCTGCAGGCGGGGAGATCAAAGGAGTGTGTGTGTGTGTGTGTGTGTGTGTGTGTGTGTGTGTGTGCAGCGTAGGGCATCCGGATGGCATGATGAAGCAATATGCAAACTGGCATTAGCCATGCCCGGATGGGTAGGTCTCTGTCTGTCACCCAGCTCTGCCCTCCTCCTGGGGCTGGCCTGGCCAGGGAAGAGGAGAGCCCTGGACAGCTGGGGGAGGAGGAAGAGGGTGTCTTGCCCGGTGCAGACGTTGGAGGGAGTGTCTTGCCCATCTTCCCAGCAGCCCACGACAAAGGACCCAGGCAGTGAGTTCTAGGGAGAGCAGCCTGGAAAGCCAGAGCTGGAGAAAGACAGAAGAGGGAGCCTGACTAAAGAGAGACTGCAGAGGGACCCAGTCAGACCCGTGTCAAGTGCAGCCAGAGACAGCTGCAGACAGACAGACAGACAGACAGACAGATGGACAGACACCTGCAGGGAGAGGGCACTTGTGGGAACTGGAGTTACAGGCCTGGCTGCAGATGCTGGTGCTGACCCTCTGCCCTGCCCACAGTGGGGTGTGTGTGTGTGTGTGTGTGTGTGTGTGTGTGTGAGGTAGCAGCTGTGGCTTCGATGGCCTGATGGGCCTTGTGGGGCTGGGGGAAGGGGCGGCATCAGGAAATGGATCCCCTGGGCAGAGAGGAGCGAAGCTAGGGAGGAAACTGCCAGCTCCAGGCTGTGAAGTTTCCAGGTACCGGTGGGAGAGGCTCCAGGTGGGCTGTTGTGCTGGATGGAAGCTGCTTGGAGCTCATGGTTGGGAGCCAAGAAAGGCAGGGCTGGCTCCCGAATGGGGAGGCAAGGAGCCAGCGTTCGGGCTGTGGGGTGGAGAGCCAGTCGCTACCCTCTGCAAGGAGTCTGATATAGCGCAGCCGCTGTGTCTGAGGGGCCCGTTGGAGGCTGAAGGGGTCTGGATCATGCAGACAGCACCCAATGCTCCCAACAGACTGTACTTGGAGCCTTCAGTCCCCTTGGAGCAGCCAGCTGCCAGGGCCCTCTGCTGAGGCAGGAATGCTTGCTGGCTTTCCCCTCTGCTGGGCTGGGAGGGCAGACCTCCATTTCTCCCCTCTCTCAGCTGAGCTTCTGCCCAGGCCCCCTGCCCAGTCCTCAATTTAGAGTTTCTGGTCTAATTCCTGCCCAGGAATGTAATTACTTATCTTCCTGTCTTCACTCTGGGGAATGCAAACTTGGCATCTGTGTTTCGGCCTCTGGCCCTGCTCTCTGGAGATCGGCTCCCAGCTGCCTCTGTGGTCCAAAGACTGGGTGC